TATTATTATTATTATTATTATTATTATTATAACATTTCTATGCCGCCCCTTGCCGAAACCTCGGGGCGGCTTACAACATGATAAAATACATTGAAATACAATAGTACATAATAAATTACCATTACATATAAAAATACAAAAAATACATTGATTTACAAATACAAAATTAAAATTATCAGTATAAAATAAATAGAGAACTTATAGATGGATATTGTTTCCCTTGAAAATTATTTTGGAGGAAATGTGGTCTATTGGTATAGATGTAGCCACAATGCATTTTATATGCAGAAGGGAGTAGAGGTGATATGAAGAACTTCTTCAGATGATTGAAATCTGTACATGTCAGTATCAAGTTTTATACACACTGTAATTCCAGAGACATCCATTTTCTGGATCTGGCTTTTTAAAAAAATATAGAAACCTGTGTGTGTGTGGCTAAACTATCCCCTGAGAAAGGCCCAAATGCAACATTATGACAGGCTACTTCTTGGAATAAAACCACCTGTTTTGCCAACATCCTGAGAGCATCTCTTTATTCTGTTCTGTGTTCCGCATTTGGTTTTACCCTGGAGTTGAACGCAACAGGACAGACTGATTTAACCCAATGGGACTGAATTCAGAATAGACCCCTGCATGATAGCACAGCACTGCTGAAATCCCATGCACATTTACCTGGGAATAAGTTCTATTGATCCATTAGGACTTCTAGAGTAAATGTGGATAGAATTGCACTGTAGGACACAGTACAATTCTCCAGTGTGGGAGACCCCAGACTGTGATGGGGTCTGCAAAACAAGGCCTTTTGGCCTTTCTGAACATTTCCTGTCCCGCTGGATCAATGTGTCTGTATAATACAGAAAGCAGTGTGGAGGCATGAGTCTCTGCTGCTCTTGTGCTGAAATGAAATAAACCCAGGAATAAATCTCAATGTCTCCAAACCTCCGGTCCTTAATGTGGCTAATATTAAAGTAAATGTGCTGGGCTGCAAACATGGGATGCCTGAGTATAGGCTAAGTTTTACCCATGATTACCATACTGGTGTTTGCTGGACCACCAGTGATACGTTGACCAGCAATATGTAGATGTGCATTGGTTCTGCACATGTGTACCTTAGCTGAGGTTCAGGGTGCTTCCAGATGGAGGGTTCATAATACCTGGAATGCTTTGAATTCTATGAATGGAGCTGGGTATCCGTATGGCCAAAGCTTAATCTGGAGGCAGCTTCAGCGTGGATTTCTTGTGGTAGAGGCAAGTAAGGGAAAAAGAGCTACTTATTCGACTATCAATTGTCTACCAGTCTGGAAAAATTGGCTGTTAGCCTGCTCTGTGCATTTCCCTCTCTAATGCCTTTTAATCCCAATTTTTCAATATTCTCCCGATGTTTTTTCTAATACATTTCTGGAACAGGAGGTCACCCCCAGCTACTAGTCCTCATGGCTATTTGCTGTCCTCCAATATCAGAGGCAGTATGCCTATGTACACCAGTGGCTGGGGAACATGGGTGGAGGCTTCTGTTGCATGAATGTCCTGCTTGTGCATTTCCCGTGGGCAGTTGGTTGGCCATTGCGGGAACAGGAAGCTAGACTAGATGGCCCCTTGGTCTGATCTGGCATGGATCTTCTCATTTTCTTAAAACAGCCAGTATAGTACAGGGGTTAGAGCGCTGGACTGGGACTCGGGAATCCAGGTTCTTGTCCCCACTCAGCCATGAAGTTCACTGGGTGAGTTTGCACCAGTCACAGACTCTCAGCCTAATCTACCCCACGGGTGGTGGTTGTGAGGATAAAATGGAGAGGAGGAGGACCATGTAAGCCTCCTTGGGTTCCTTGTAAGAGGAAGAAAGGTGGGATATAAATGCAAAATAATAATAAAATAATATTTGTCATTCTATAGGATAAAAATGTTTGGCATTTAATAATGAATTGGGCAGCATCTCCATGTGTTTCTTTATTCATTTTTTGCATAATTTTCCAGGGCAGTGATATCAGCTGTGATGCACTGATCAATCCATATAAAATAGGACAACAAGGCTATGAAGTGTCCTTTAGGAAGGAAGACTTCAAAGCCCTGAAAGAACTGGTGAGTTGAGTTTTCTGGAGGCTTTGGCTCCAACACTGTTCATTGTATATGTTGCATGGTTTATCTGTCCAGCTGGATTTATCATCCACTTGAAGGGCTTCACACCGTTCACACACAAGTCTGGATGCATGTTTAGGCAGGGTTGACTGCATTTTCCCACTTTGCCTTCCCATGACAGCCCCTGGAAATGCTACACAGGAAGTTATGAGCCCTGGCTGAATGCAAGAAAGCTGTGAGGGAGGGCAGTCCCCGCAGATCAAGCAGAGGGATCTTAGACACAAACCTACATCTGACCCCACCACCTTATCTGGATCCAGTGTCACCTCCAGGCTTTGCAGGCCCTTGGGCAAGACACCCTCCAAGAACACCTTCCCGCATCACTCTTATCTTCTCACTGCCAGGGATGTGTGAGGAATTGATTTGTGGGTGGATCCATTGGATTCTTTGGGCTCAGATCCCCAGATTCCAGTCCACTTTGCAGCAGCCCTGAGTCCAAGTTCCTGGCGAGCTTGCCCACATTCACAGGACCTTTGCCAGGAATCAGGACCCAAGATGGAACTCCCTCTTGCACACCTGCTGGAAAAGAAGGGTGGTCGCTAGAAATGGTGCTTGCCCAGCCTGCTTGTAGCACCATGCAGCCACTCCTGACAGGGAAGGCTGTGGGTTTAGCATCCAGAGTCTGCAAGCATTCACAGGCTTCCTCTTGGCTCTGCTCACTTTTGCAAGACCTGGCCAAGCATGAGAAGAAGACTGTGGATGCTGGAGGAATACATTCCAAAAGGGTTCATCCTACCCCTACTCACTGGCATTGAAAAAGCTGCTGTTCTTCCTCATTGCTTGCTTGACAGAGCCAGTGACCAAGCTAGCAGTGACATCTACTGTGCCTTCTTGATACTGCCTCCATTGTCTGGGCCAGAGCAAGAGGCAGGTGCACAAGAAGGTTGCAGTGCTGAAGACAAGAAGCAAGTCCAGGGGAAGATTGTCAGCAGGCCCATTCCCAGCTGGGGTGTATGAGCCCATGGCTGATGCTCAGACACACCTGTCCCTAATACCAGGCCTGTTTGGAACAGTTCAAGGCAACAGAGTATTCGGGAAGACCATTTGACAAAGTTGGAAGGATGCTACTAGTCACCCATGATAGAGTGGCAGAGAAGAAATTGTCTCCTCTTTGGCTGTTATTCATTCATTAAATACTTTTCTACTCCATCCACCGCTAGTGTCCCAGGACGGCTTACAACAAAAACAAGTAGGATAAAACAAGTAGGATATTTCTGCACTAATATCTCTATGTGTAAGGAGTGTAACAACATAAGTCAGCGCAATGTTGTCTCTTCAGAGAGGAAAGCATGCCTGTCCGAAAAATGTGCACAGTGCCAGACCTGTTTGGGATCAGGACTCTTGAGTTGTAGTTCCTGTGTCTGTTTGATGAGCTGCTATCACTCTTTGAGCTCTGCTGCCTTTGCCCCTTGTGGTTTTAATCTGTTACCCTGACGCGGAAGCATTAGGGTAACCTATTTGGTAGTTTGTTCACTTGTGGTTGAGTTTCATTATTACACGTTTAGATAGCAATCTAAGATTTAAGTGCAGTGTGGCTTAGTGTGGCTTAGGCTGTAGGGTGTTTATCAGAGACTTGGAAGATCTGCGTGACTTGAAAGCCATTATTGACACTCAGCCCAACGTGAAGCTAAAATGTGGGGGAATAGTATGTAAGTGCCCTGGGGTTTCTTGCAAAAAAAAAAAAAAAAGTGGAATGTAAATACAGTAAATATAAAATAAAGTGAAATAAAGCCAATAGATGTTTGAAAGGATACAAAGTCAGGATTGCCTGGAGCTCCCAATCAGTCATGGCCATCTTGGTTTGTTGTTCTTCAGGTCTGTATGCAATTTTTAGGGTGTGATCCCATACATGTTTAGGCAGAAAAAGGTCCTGCAACTTCCAATGTGCTCTGGTAGGATTGTATGCTCAGGTTGGGACATGCTAGGAGTTGTAGACCTTTTTTTTTGTCTAAACATGCATAGAATTGCACCTGTAATCAGAAACCTTGAATGCCTAAAATAGAATACCTAAAAGTTGTGAATTGCAATGATACCATGTTTTAAAGTATCAATATCTAATAGTAATGCTAAATTATCACATTTTTCTCTTATCTGGAAGAACTGCAAGAATGTCAAATGTGATACGATTACATGCAAGTTAAAAAATATGGCATTGAAAGCCGAGTATTATGTTAACATTTCTACCAGAATATGGAATGGAACATTTGCGGCTGTAAGTAATATTTGTTTTAATGAGTTATCAGACTGATGGATATTGTGTATTTTATATTTAGCAAAATGCTTGTATTTTGCATAATACAGTAAAGGCAGGCTCCAGAAAAGGTGTCGGCTATTGGCACTCTCTGGCGGATTCAGGTGACATCTCCTCTAAGTCCCAGTTTGCATGGCCAGTGGGAATTGTGGAGTTGCAGGTAGCTTGCACTAGTTGCCCACTACTATGTAAACTATCATAGCTTTGGCTAAATTCAATGTAATAGAGCTTTGAGTACCCACTGAAGCACTAAATTATGGGCTGTGGGGGAAGGTATGAGAGTAAAACTACACATAACTGTGTTCAGCCATTCCTTCACTTTTTCTTTGCTTACCTGTAAGCACATGGGACCCCATCAGGACCACCATGCAGAGCATCAAGTTAGGTTTTCTGGAAATTAGTACAGTACAAATTAAAGTCATGTTCTGATGCCCTGGATTGGGGATCAGGCAACTTGCGCCCATCTAAAATTTTGGCCTTTAATTCCCATCTTTCTCCTTCACTGGCTACACTAACTATAGATGATGGAAGATACAGGGCAAACTTCTGGAGGGCCACAGAAAGGCCTCTGTCTTACAAAGATCCAATTTAGCATGGCTGTTACACCTGTATTTTGTAAACAAAATTTGAAAAAAGTCTTTGTTCATTGTTGTCCCAGTATATCACATGTATTTGATCTGAAATAACTGAAGGGAATAAATTTAAATACTCATAAAATAGAAAGACCATGGCATTTAATTTCCTTATCTTCTTTAAATTTAAGGGAAGACAAAGGGGTTGAAAACTGTTGACACACTAATTAAGTTTTGCATCTCAAAGAACTGTGCATGATACTCAAATGCTTCCGGTTCATTATGACTGTTGGAGCAACTTCAGTTTTCTTTTCACTACTTATTAGTTCCATTTCATGCTGAATCATATATGTACTGCAGCAGATTAAATATATTCTTCACAAACTTGTCAGGCATAATCACTAGAAAAACATTAATTAACATTTGAAACTGCACGTTTGCTTGATACTGTATTTGCAATTAGCATCCATTCATTGTTTCTGTTCACACTTACTAATGAAGTTATGGAATGGAACATTTTATGTGGGAAAAAAGTTAAAAGCTTTCTGTCCCATTTACCAACCCCCCCTGCACATGTGTGCGCGCACACTCTCTCTCTCACATAGACTTCTTTCCCAATATTCATGCACCCATAGCTCACAGGATGTTTTCAAAGCACCCATTGGCACCAATAGGGGTTTTTTTTCTTGTAGTGCTCCCCCTTGTATGGGGAGCACTATTAAAGAAGGGACTTAGGGAAGTTTAAACCTCAGCTCCTCATGGATAGTTCTCACAGTCCAAATCAGATGCTTTACTTACAAGTAAAGAAAAAAAGGAGCAGCTGTATTGTACAAATTCAACATAGCCTGTAGTTTGGGCTTGAGCTTTGAGGCCTGTTCAGCCATTCAGAGATCCAGTGTGGTGCAGTGGTTAAGAGCACGGGACTGGGACTCAGGCGATCTGGGTTCTCGTCCCCACTCAGCCATGGAGCCACCTGGGTGACTTTGGGCCAGTCACAGACTCTCTGCCCAACCTACTTCACAAGGTTGTTCTTATGGGGATAGGATGGAGAGCAGGAGGAGGAGGATGTATGCCACTCTGAGTTCTTTAAAATAGAAACAGGTGGGATAGAAATCTAAGGAAGGAAGGACGGACGGACGAACCTGAGTAGAACTAGTGTGATGAGAGAGACGGCTCCCACCCTCTCCTCCTCAGTCATCACACCTCTCACCCTCAGCTCATGGAGGGTGACTGTCTGAAGAGGCCCCATGTGAGCAAGCCCAAAGGCTGTGACACCCGTGGTCTCTGCCTCACCTGCAGAGCCTGTACTGATGCAGACGACACTTCTCATCAGACATGCATCCACCATGAGTTAAGGGCAGCAAATGCAGCGAAGGAGTTAGCGGGGCTGGATCGCTGCCCCTCTTCATGCTTTTACCTGACTAGGGCTGCACAGGTGACAGAATGAGATTTCATAGTACAGGGGTGGTTGAATGGGAGTTACCACTTCAGACTGCAGGTGATGGATGCAGCCCTTGAATGCCACTCCATTTAAAAATAAAGGACTAGCAAATAAAGGACTAGCTCATTGACTAGCTTTTAAGTAGCTATGCTAATTCTTAACTTTCATGATTTAAAAAAATGTAGGGAATGTTTAAAAATGCGTTTCCCCTATTTTGCTGTCTAAAATAGTGCATTTTATTTAGGGTGTCTTTTCAAGTTCCCTTAAAGGTGACAGGTCCTGTTTGCTTTCATATCTGGCCACTTCAACGCAATTTTACCACATGATTCTGCTGTGGGTATAGACCAGGCCGAAGTAAATGCTCACTTCCATGGAACTGGAGTGTAGCTTTGGGGAAAAATAAAAGGGAGCCGATTAGTTATTTATTCTGACCAGTGCAGTCTTACGCATTTCTACTCAGAATTGCTCAACTGAATTCATAGTATTTATTTACAAGTAATTGTGAATTGCAAACTTAAATCCTTGAAGGACTCGACATAGATCTTAAAATAAGCTTCTGAACAGCACAATCCTACCTGTGTATCCAATGGAACTTAACTCCATAATAAGAGTTCTTAGGATTGCAGCCTAAGATAGAATAATTATCACAATGGTCTATTATAAAAACGTTTGAAAGACTTTCAGCTGAGCAGGCCATGTTACCCTCTTTCCTCTAAATATTTTGGGGTTTCTTTTAGATAGACTGTAAGCCCTGCATACTTTTATACCTTTGAAGAAAATCACACCATTTTTAACTGTAGCATATTTATTTTTCTATTTCAGTCTGATTTCCAGAGCATACAGTTATCTGCCAGTGCTGAAACTGCAATACATGAGTCAGCCCTATTTGTGCCTGGAGATAATACTTTATCAGTGAGTGAGACTATTTTACACTTTTTGTCTTACTGTGCTAAAAGCTATTATGTTGCTCTTACTCTCATTTAAAAATGTATTGCCTACCACAAAACTCTACCTTATAAAAATGTTGCCTAGCTCTTAATGACATGCATGAAAACTTGTGAATTATAGAAGTACTGGAAACTTAAAAGTTTTATCTGCCAAGTACAGGTGACAAAATTGAGTAGAAGACACCTTCTAACTTCCTCTAAAATGCTTGTGGTTTAAACACTTTTCTGCAGAACTGTTTCCTGTATCTCTTCAATTTTTGCACCTTTAAATAACTCAGTATAAAGCTCTTTTCTGTGTGGAGCCCCTCCTTCATCAGTGTCTCCCAGTTCCCTCAGAACTGCAGAAGCTCCATCCTATGGGATGTTTTGGGGTACAGTATTTTCTGGGTGACAAGTTGAGCCTGTAACCTGCTGCGAGCTGTACAATGGAAATGAAGAGGTGATGGGTTGTCTGTTACAGAGAAGAGGCTGTAGCTCATATCCAGCTGAGTCCCTGCACTCATGGAAGGCTAGAAGGCCTTTTGCTTCAGTAGAAGCTTCCATGAATAGAAAGGAGACTGGAACGATTTTCACAAATTCCCCATTTTTCCTGTAACTCCCTGTTCCCCCTCACATGCTCTGGCAAAGATCCCCCAACGCTCTGGAGCAGACCGGGAGAGGAGGCATGTAGAGAAGGCAGAATCACCAAGAAGTGACTCACTTCTACCCACAGCAGCCTCTGCTGGATCAAGGTTTGCCATGCACACAGGAGCACAACTGGACACAATGAATTGTGTGTTTACTTAAATCTTCACCTCCTCAAGGCTTCTCTACAGGAGGGATTTAACCTACCATTTTACTGAGGCTTTTTCTTCCAACTTTCTTGCTGGAGACAAAACGCATCTTTAACATGGGTTTATATTTCTCTGCGTTTCTATATATTCTTTTAACCAGCCAAGAGGTGGTGCTCTGGTCTAACCCAGTAGAATGGATCTGCAGCAATGAATGAGGCTTTGTTGCTGACGGTTGCAATTTAACACAGATTTTGGAGGATAGCAACATTGTGCAAAGGCCCTTGGAAACCTCTGTGAGTGAGGGACTGTGAGAAGCCCGAAGTGTGTTTGCAACCTGTCTGGGCAATAGGATATGAGCTAGTGCCCTCCAGTGGAGATAGGGCACTAGCATCAGAAGATACAAGATCTGTCAATGATCTAACAGATTGTTATGATACACTTCCCTCTCCCTCTCTATTATTATCACCATCTTCTTTACTGGGTGCAGCACAGAGGTAGACTGCTTTGCAGCTCACATCAGGCTGGCTCCAAAGTGAGCTGTTTATTCCCCAAACAGGGAAACTGCTGGCAGTCCTGCAAAGAAACCCCAGTGGAAAGGAACTGAAACATTCCTCCATTCCTAGGCGTAGCGGGCTGTTTATAAGATCTGACCCCAAATCTGCTGCTTGGGACAAAAGCCCATCCCTTGTATGGGACGCTCTCACCCCAAGGATCTGCCACAAAGAGAGGATTTTACCCCTGAACTCATCATAATAGCCCCTGTGCAAACCGGCGGACTTTCCCATGTTGCTTTGCAAGGGGTGCGGGGTGTGGGAATGTCAAGAGCTGCTCCAGTAACATGCTTTATAGAATGCAAAAGACCTCATCCTGCATGGGGTGCCATTGCTCCAAGGGGGCACTCAGAAGGTTGGCTTTTGCCAAGCAGCCCTGGTTTTTCTGGGAGTGGCCTTTCAACAGAGTCCCCCCACAGAAGCACAGCAAAAGATGTATTTTGTGAGAAGTGTCTTTGAAGGGCCATCCCTGGAGAAATGGGATGGTGTAGCCAGGTATTGCTTACTTTGTAACAGGAGCATCTGTCTAAATGAGGCACTACAAATTAATAGCAGGACTATAATATTATTCATAAGAGCTTTGCTGGATATGATCAATAGTCCATCTAGACAAGTGTTCTGTTTCCAGTGATGACCGGATACTTTCCAGGAAAATGTCAGAAAGCTTGTAGATGTTCATCCCATTGTGTATTTACACCATCTGATAGAAAGATTATTTTCCCCCATGAAGCACAATAATCTAGTTAGCACCAATGATGAAAATGAAGCCCATTCTGACCCTGCTAGTGGGGAAAGCTGTATTAAAAATGCATTAGGGCATAGATTGCCATATGGAATTAGGCTGAGTAGCCATTTTTGTCACCACAGTTACAGGAATTGTTGCACTTTTAGGAACATAGGAAGCCACCTTACACAGAGGTAGACCACTGATCCAAGTAAAGGAAAATGTGCAATGCTTTTTTCTCCCAATCAAAAGCTCCTGCACTGTTTCCACCTGAGAAAAATCATTACTACAGTCCTTTTCTTACAAAGTACATGGAAGAAAGCCACACTGAATTGTAAAGATACATCTACACCCAAACCAGCACAATAAAAATGCTTTTCAGTGATGAAGACTTAAATAACCAAGTGGTTTTCGACTGGAATTGCCACAGTCATGAAATTACATTGCTTCAGACAAGTTAATTGTAACTCTTTGTACATAAAAGAAAATGTTCTTCCGGATTTTCAGAGTGCATTTGGAACTTCTATAGATTTTTGAAAGCTAAATATCTTTGTAAGCCAACAAGAACATCTGTAGCTATAATCAGATTTACTTTTTGAAACATCTTTGATTATTGTTTTGGTATTGTGGAGAGGGAAAGCAGGAAAATTTTATGCTTGATATTCAATGCTCACTTCAACATGTTTGGCCCATAAAAACCATAGTTGTGTCTTCCATTTTTCCTTTGTTTTCATAACTAAGGACAGGCAAATATTGACCCCTGGATTTGAGTCCAAGGCCTTTGGCCAGATTCCATCTCAGATTTTGAGAACTGTTTGTGGTTACTGGAATGGAATGTAAAATATTAGATTCTGTCAGTCTTGCAAAGGTGTATTTCAAAAGTTTTCAAGAAATTTAAAAAATCTTGAAAAAATGCATACTTTTAAATAATGTGAACAGGCAGCATAATTCTTTGGCCTGTAGTGTCTGTACAGTTTGTTGGAGCTGGGACTCAGGAGCAAGGACTCCACACTTGGAGTGCTTTGCTCCAGCAGATGTGAGGGGAAAACATGTAGGAATGCTTCTCCAAGATTGCAAGAGTGACCTCAGAGAAGGCCTTTAGGGTCTGAAGTGGGGAGGAAACCAGCACTACCAAGACAACATGTATCCTGATGGCACCTCAGCTACCTTCTCTCCTACTCCAAAGTGTGGCACTTTGTGTGAAATCAGCAGTCTAGCTGCTTTGCATGGTCTGAGCTCCTCCCACCTTACATAGGATGCCCAATAGCCTGTAAGCCTCTGAGGGCACTTTTTTTTCTGTAGACAATCATACTAGCTAGGGAATGTTGGGAGCTGGATGACTTTTTTCTGCTTATACATGCATAGGATTCCACCCACATACTCTTAAATTTGTCTTTCTTGCAACTTTTCAACTGTGCAATTATATATCTTGTTTTTTACTTAAAAATATCATTTTAGAAGGATGGTTCATTCTCTCAACAAAACACAAATGGAGAACTTCTTTCCCCATCTCCATTATTATTGTGTATGCCTGTGCAAAGTGTGTTACAACATCCTCAAGTCCAGAATTCTAATGCAGCAGGACCAAACAGATGTCTGAAGGTTGGGACAATAATAGAAGAACCTCATTCCTAGAATGAAGGCCAAGTGCCTGATCCTGCCTAATCTGGATGAGAGACTTGGGTCCTCCACCGAGCAGTCGGTTGGACCAGGTGGTCTCCTAGGCCCCTTCTACCTCTGGATTCTATATGTTTGCAGTGCCTCTCAGCCACCAAAAGCCTGTCTCCAAGGTTGTTTATGCAGTTGTCTATACTTTATCCAGTGGCCATAGGATTTCTTTGTTATTATACCAACTCAAAATTGCACAATAAGGAACAAGAAATGTGAACATTTTCAAGATCTCCTGATCTCTTTATCAGTCTAGATGTTACAAAAACCAGGTGGGGTGAGAAATAGGAGGGAGGATGAAAAGGATGACTAGATGTTTAGGTCATTATGTCAGCATTATTTTATTCTTTGTCAGAATCTTCTAATGAAATCAGGAAGGAGGATTGCAGGCATTCAAAGTGGGGCCTGCAAAGAGGTGTGATAGCTTCAGGTTTTATCTGGATCTGGCCCTATGACCCCTGGGAGCAAGAAAGAAGACAATGATTGGCTCCTTTCATATTTGAAAATGAAAAATCCAGCTGTTAATCAGAACTGTCTCCAGCTAATGTCCAAATAATGCATTGATAACATTTATATGATAAGTACTGCTTCACCTTTTGCTAACAACTACAAGGGCTTCTTTTCAGATTCCAACCACAATCACAAAGCCCACTGAGAAATCAGAAGTGCCAGTTGGAATTGTGATAGGAAGTGTTCTGGCAGGTCTCCTTTTGCTGGTAGCTCTAGTGGCTGCTTTATGGAAAGTAAGTAAATTCCCCAGGCTTTAAAAATAAAAGTAATATACTTTAAGAACTCTAAAAATGTTAGATGAACTCCCCCACACACCAAGTGTATGCTTTGATGCCCCTTCAGTAGCTATAAGAAATCTGAGAACTTGATTCAGACTTGGGGTTTGGGAAATGAAATTCATCAGAAGTTTAATCTTACAGTAAGATACATTGATTAATAATGGAGCCATGTTCTTAACATGACATGTGCTGGTGATTTTCACTGAAATAACTCATTTCTTATGTTCATCCTCAGTGGCAATCCAGTTGTTTCCCTTGCAAATTGCTGGAACTTAAGAAATTATTTTCAATCCACTGGGAAGCGGGAGTAGAAGGAGGCTGGCGCATGATAGGAACTGGTGTAAGCTGTCAGCCCTGACCTCTTCCATCCACCCCCACCCAGAGACAGCCAGCACAATTCTTTTTGTAATGGCCTGGAGCCCCCCCCCCCCCCCCGCCCCGAGACAAAGTGGGGAAGCCATAGAATTGCACCCTGAATATGTGACCTGGTCTTGGGTGGCTTGTTCTGTATAATCACCAACATGTATGACTCCATTAAAAGGCTTCTCACTTGTCTTACAGCTTGGTTTCTTCAAGCGAAAATATGAAAAAATGGCAAAGGACATGGAAGACATGGACGAAATTACAGAACTCACAAAAGACAGAGAATGACTACTGCAGTGATAACAACTTTTTGCACCTCGCCCCTGAGCCACAAGCAGTGCTTGCAATCACACTGCTTCAATTTTTCTGAGTGCCTTACAGATTTTTTTTTCAATGAAAATGCCTAATTGTATATTTTTACAGATGTAAATTTTATATGTACTGTTTGATTTTAGCAGTAACTGCTGGTCGGTTTGGGGTTTTGTTTACAGGAGTTTATACTGTTTTTCATGTGTGTTTTTATATTTTGTTAATACACTTTGAAGTGGCAATACCAGAGGCAGTAATATTGAACTGGGCCAGAAATATTGCCTCCTTTATACAATCGACACTTTCAGTTTGTGGTCCAGAGTTCCATGAGAAGCACATGCGGCTTGCATGCATCCAGCTACACCCACAGCAGTGCATGCTTCGCCCCCACCTCCCTGAACTGAAACCTGCCTCTGAAATTCCTGGTTTAAACTATAGCCTGTGATCTACGCTAGACAAGGTGCCTCCTGGCAAGGGCTCCAAGCAGAAATAGCCCAAGGCAGGGTGAAGCTATTTTTCCTGGGGGCACCTGTGTGGTGGATCAGCCAGGCAAGAATCTGCAGAGGTTTGTGTGACACTGAGCCAGCCAAGAAATCAAAAAGTTATCTACGGAATGATGCAGGGAGTCGTCTAGTATTCTGACTAGAGATGGACCTATCGCAGCACTCACTGTGCCAACAGGTTTATACAGTGCAGCTGCCAGAAGCAAATTCACTGGTGACTTGAGCGAGCGATGGTGACCCACAGGCTAAGCAGATGGCTTTACAACGTGCTGTGTGGGGCCATGCCTGTAGGGTGACTGGAATCTTCATCTGCTGCTCACAGGCTGCTCATCAATACACAGGATCAGGGCCGTTTACCTGTCCTGAAAGCCCTGTACTGGTTGCCACTTGCTTTCTGGGCTCAGATCAGAGCATCAGTTTTCACCTTTAAGTCCTTCGATGGCTTGAGACCCGGCTATCTAAAGGACTGCCTGTCTCATTAGGTACCGGTACAGTTATTCAGCGTTACAGGGGAGGCTCTCTTAAGGGTGCCATTGCCTGCAAAGGCCATTTGCTTTCTCCTGTGTCCCTTCTAAACCAGGGAGCAACCTCTGCAAGGACTGATTTGGTCCCCAGTCTCTGGCCATTTGGAAAGGGTGTGAAATGACATCTTAATTCAGCCTTTTAAATTATTTAATGTTTTGCTGTATTCAACATTCTTTTCTTCCTCCCTGCCCACTTTGGAGGCCATTGGGAAGAAAAACAGGAGCAGGTGGGAAGAAAATATCCGTCTTCATGATCTACATGCAACCCCTTGAAGATGGTAGCTTATTAGACCCTTAGAATGAGGTGCATGTAAACGACTGTGTCTTTCCTCTTTTCACTGGGTTCAGATTTGTCAGATCACCTGTAAGGATACAAATCATCTTTCTGATACCTTTCTTTCCTCCCTGCCCCACCCCCAGCCATCTGAAAAAGCATTAGACCCTTGGTTTCTGCTTTGTGGGAGAAAGGCAGGCTACAAGTAAAATAAATAAATGGACAAGGGGGATTCCCTAAAAACTGGGCAGAGAGAACTTCAGAGAACCTTCAGGTATGGTAAGTAAAATGCTGCGCTGGGAATCTAGGAGATCTGAGTTCTAGTCCTCATGAAGTCACTGCATGACTTCCAGCTCGATCTACTTCACTGGGAAAATTGTGAAGATAACAATTAAGTGTAAGCTGCCTTGGGTTTTGCACAAGAGGAAAAGATGAGACATACATGCAAAATAATCATCTTGGGAGCAGAGGTCTTCCTCCTGCAGAAGGCAGATCCTTGATCCAACCCAATTAAAGTGGTTAATTTCCTGTCATTAAGAACACTGTTACTGCACTTTTCAGCTGGCAAAATTCACAATCCTGCTATGGATTTGATGTATGTAGCTTTGTAAGATACAGACTGTTTTTCATATTTAAAAATGCATTTTAATATTATGGGATTCCATAAAGCACTATTTTAAGTGATGTGAAGCAACTCTAAGAACCACCACAGAATTGGTACTGATATTAATGTATATTGCAACGGTGACACTACTCAATTGTTAATTAGGATAAAGT